TCTTTTCTGCGCAGCACATTAACACAGAACTTTGGGAAAGCTGCTGTTGTACAGGCACACGGGCAAACAAGAGGGAAAATTAAACGCTTTAATCGATTATATCGGCGATCTGCGCAACTGCTGGACCAGTCACAGACCGCAATTCCACCACCTCGTTTTCGTGATACCGTGAAGACTGATCACAAGGAACAGCGTCCATGCCCCTTTTCTTCCTCTCCTCAGCACCAGCTATTCATTCACCTATTTCTCATATCACAGCGATGGCACTCAGATACCGCTTTGCGCATCAGTCGGTGGGCGCATACGCTCGCATGCAGCTGGCCGGGACGGGAATCCAGACGCCATACATTATGTAAGCATGACACTAATCATATGTACTTGTGATGTCAAAGACAGTAGACTAAACTGTACCCATTTGTAGCAGGACGACAGGCATTATTCTTGGCACACGGATGTATTCGAGCAAGCACACAGCCGCTGTGGCCAAGCCCGTCGAGCGCGCTGACCCGACCCTTCCTGGCCAGAGCCTGACCTTTATCCAGAAGGTGAAGGGATTCGTGTCGTTCTATAAGGGCGGTCTCAAGGAGCTTTTGCGAAACAACAAGGAAGCCAAGGCAATCGCTGTTAAAGTCCGGAATGGCGAAGAGCTGACGCGGTCAGAATTGCAAATCCAACGGCGCACGCCCGGCGACAAGCTGCGCCTGGTGCCGTTCGGGTTCCTTGTAGTGATCATCCCTGAGCTAATCCCGCTGACAATTTGGCTGTTCCCCGGTGTGTGTCCGAGCACATGCGTGACATTCGGGCAGACGGTTAAGATGGGGCGGAAGCAGGACGTGGTGCGGCAACGGCTGCACGCACAGGCTGTTCAGCGGATCGCAGAGGCGGGGATCAAGCCTGGTGATTTGGCGGTCGCCAGCAAGCTGGGGAAGCTTGATCACGAGATTTTCCAGTTCGAGACCCTAGCAGATCAGGATGTGCAGTTGATTGCCAGGTACATGGGTGTGCGCGGCGGCTTGTTCGCCAATGCGACGGCGCTGAAGACGAAGCTGAGGCTGGAACTTGATTATCTGCATCATGACGATCAGCTGCTGGCAAACGAGTCGCTGGTAGGAGTTCTGGGGCTGACGGAGCTGCATCGGGCGTGCCAGGAGCGCGGAATCCCAACTGCGGATTACCCTGAGCAACAGCTGCGTAACTCGCTGGACGCCTGGACCAAGGTCTCGCGAGCAGCCAAGGGAGGATCAGACATGCTGCCGATCGTTTGGAGCCAGCTGGCGCTGTTTAACAAGGCGATCAAGGTTTGAGCTGCCAGTGAGAAAAACTATAGGCTAGGCTCTCCATCATCTTTGATATGCGACGAACAATATAGATATCTTTTTTTGGTAGTCCTTGAATTTGCGTATATAAGACAGGGTGTGTTGGCAGGGAGATGCAGAATCATCATCCTCACTCTCTGGTTCTTCGAATCAACGCATCCTCCTCCTCAACCTCATCCTCAACCTCACCCTCAGCCCTAATCTCAACAATGCGCTGCACCGTTAGCAAATCGGCACTTCTGGTCCTGGCATTCACCACTATGGTGGTAGGACTGCCTGCGGCTCCGGTGGACGCGGCAAATGCCTTGTCTACCGCCGATGCGATGTCTACTGCAACTGTAGAAATTACCGGTATTCAATCATCGGCTGATGCCCAAACGTCGGCTTCAGCTGCTGCGAGGTTTGTGGAGGACGCTACGTCTTCGGCTGATGCTCAGTCTTCTGCTGATGCTCAGTCTTCGGCTACCGCGGATGCGATCGATATCCAGTCTTCGGCTGATGCTGAATCGTCGGCTACAGCGAACGCAAGACTTGTTGAGGATGCTTTGACTTCTGTTGATGCTCAATCTTCAGCAGACGCCCAGTCGTCTGTTGACGCCCAATCGTCGGCTACAGCTGACGCGAGAGTTGAGGATGTCATCCAATCTTCGGCTGATGCTCAGTCCTCGGTTGATGCCCAGTCCTCGGTGGATGCGCAGTCCTCAGCTACGGCTGAAGCAAGGTTTGCAGATGATGCTTTGACTTCGGTTGACGCCCAGTCCTCGGCTGACGCCCAGTCATCCATTGACGCCCAGTCATCCATTGACGCCCAGTCGTCCATTGATGCCCAGTCATCCGCTACGGCTAACGCGAGAATTGAGGATGTCATCCAATCTTCGGCTGATGCTCAGTCGTCGGTTGATGCCCAGTCATCAGCAGATGCCCAGTCCTCGGCTACAGCTGAGGCAAGGTTCGCAGATGATACCGAGTCTTCCACGGATGATGAGTCTTCGACGGATGATGAGTCTTCGGCTGACGACCAGTTCTTGGTTAATGCCCAGTCCTCGGCTACGGCTGAAGCAAGGTTCGCAGATGATGCCAAGTCCTCGGCTGACGCCCAGTCCTCGGCTACAGCTGATGCCACGGATTTCCAGTCGTCTGCTGACGCCCAGTCGTCAGCCACTGCAAATGCAAGGGTTGAAGATAATGCCATGACTTCAGTTGATGCTCAGTCCTCGGCCGACGCCCAGTCGTCCATTGACGCCCAGTCATCCGCTACGGCTAACGCGAGAATTGAGGATATCATCCAATCTTCGGCTGACGCTCAGTCCTCGGTTGATGCCCAGTCCTCGGCTACGGCTGAAGCAAGATTCGCAGATAATACTCAGACTTCGGTGGATATCCAGTCGTCGGCCGATGCTCAGTCATCCGCAGATGCCCAGTCCTCGGTGGATGCCCAGTCCTCGGCTACGGCTGAAGCAAGGTTTGCAGATGATGCTTTGACTTCGGTTGACGCCCAGTCTTCGGCCGATGCCCAGTCGTCCATTGACGCCCAGTCATCCGCTACGGCTAACGCGAGAATTGAGGATGTCATCCAATCTTCGGCTGATGCTCAGTCGTCGGCCGACGCTCAGTCATCGGCAGATGCCCAGTCCTCGGCTACGGCTGAGGCAAGGTTCGCAGATGATACCGAGTCTTCCACGGATGACGAGTCTTCGGCTGACGACCAGTCCTCGGCTGATGCCGAGTCATCAGCTGATGCTCAGACCTCGGTATCAATCGATGAAGCAATCGCACGGATTGCCGAAGATGTCTTGACTACACCCACAGCCACAGCCGCCGCAGCCGACGCCCAGTCTTCAACTGATGCTCTCTCTTCGGCCACCGCAGAAGCCACTTCGATCTCTGACGAGTTCGTTTTCCCCACTCCCAGCATTGATACGGCAACTGATATCCTGGAGGCGGTTGAGACGCGCAAGGAGCCATCCGAGTTCCGCGGGGTGCACCCTGAGATGCACTTCGTGGGCATGCAGCCCAATGAGCTGCAGTCGTGGATGGACATCAACACTCTGCGCTCTGAGCTGTCAGTGGACGCAGAGTCGCTGGCGGCAGAGGCCGCAAGCATCGGACAGCTGGCAAGCGACCTGTTCATTAAGAGCATCTTGATTCCGGGCACAGACTAGTAATTGAGGAGAGCGGTCGTTTAGTTTATTAGGACATCATGGCAATAAATATGCGCAGTCACAGCAACGGATGGCGGCGAATTTGCCCGCGATCCCCCGCTTAGGCTGCTGCAGCTTTATCTAATGGAGAAAAAGACGCAATAGCGCTCGCCCATTTTCTCATTTGCACTTCGGGATGTGCGGACAATAGGAGCTTTAAAGTATCGATCGAGGGATATCGCACCCCCTGGGCTCGTGCAGAGGCATGGTGGGCTGTGCATGGCACTGCTCTGGGAGGTGATCCTCACAGCACTTGTGTGATCTGGGAGCAAAGGCCAAAACATACACCATGGCATGTGTTCAAAACCCGGGCAGCAGCGCAGATGCACTTGCGTGTGAGAAAGCCATTTCCTGAACAAGGCGGGCATGAAAAGGTGGAGTCTGTGAGAGGCAGCGCTTCTGTTTTTAGAACAGGTTTTTTTTGGTGCTGTATTTCTCCGAGTTGGGTGTCGGTTGAGGAAACGCATAAGAAGGGGCGCGCAAGGGGAAGGCGCTGTCCACGATCTGCTTCGCGAATAGCAAACCTCCATCTTCGTTTCCCCCACATATACACGTACTAGGTAAGCCGGTTTTGCAGTCCACGGACCTCCCGCCACCGGGAGGCGGCGGTTCACAGGCAGCGTTGTGACTCAGAAGGTGTAACCCCCCAAAAAAACAAAAAATTGCACTCCTCGCGTGCCTTCTCCCGTTACACGGCGGGGTCTTTTTGAGGCCTCCTTATTTTTACCGTTATCGGCCAGCAGTGTGTCTGGGTTTCTTTTATTTCTCTCCCCTACCACTCGTCCTTTTCGCAACCCCCTTTTGAGCTTGTACTATTAACCAGCAGCCTAGATCACAATGTTTTGCCTCTACACGCCGCTCGCTGCTGGCTGTTGCCAGCAAAGGAAACGCAGTCCGCACGCACAGAGCAGCGATCGTGGGCCACAGGCTGGCTGGCAAGGTAAGGCAGACACACCCCCGTGTAAAAAAGGAGTGCACCCGAATAAGCCCGAGACATTGCAGATGTGAACTTTGACCGATGCGCTCTCCCCCGTCCTGGGCGCTTCGGGCGGGCGGGGCGATCTGCACTGACGTTTCATAGTCTGGCCCCTACGAGCCCTACGGGAGCAAGGCGCAATTTATTCAGCGAATGGCAGGGCACCGCTCCCGCTGCATTCGTCTTGTGGTCGATAACCAATGGGTTTTTCTGCGGAGATTTGTGGCCAATTTTTCCCTTCTGTGGAGTCTGCTGCAGAAGGCAAGCGGTTCCACATGTTGGCCAAACACCGCTTCCTTGTGATCGCCTCCTCGCCCTCCGACCACGCAGAGCTCTTCATTTTTTTGCTGTTGCGGTGCAAGTATGAAATTCGCCGCCCCTGCCCCCACCTGTGTTGTTATAAAAGGTCCTCAAGCCGGCCGTTTTTTAATCCCGACTAGACACTGACATCCATATTTCTGTACCTCATTTTCCCCTGTACTCTAACCAAAATAGCAACAAAGCACAATGGCTCCTGCAATCAAGAACGACTCTGCTCCGTCCTCGCCTCCTCAGAAGACCCTGAGCCTGGGCACGGCTCTGCCGTATGCGACCCGCACTGCCCTGCACCTTAAGGGCCTGGTGCCATCGGCGGTCGAGAACTTTGCGGCCCAGGAGGCCCGCGCGTACGAGCAGTTCAAGGCCAAGGGCTCGCCTCTGGAGCAGTACATTTTCCTGTCGTGGCTGCGCAACACCAACCTCAACCTGTTCTACCGCCTGGTGCTCAAGCACCTGAAGGAGATTGCTCCGGTCATCTACACGCCCACGGTCGGCCAGGCGTGCCAAGAGTTCTCGCACATCTACCCGTTTCCTGGCGCCGCCCTCGGCTGTCGACGGACTGTACATTCCGCTCAACGAGGTTGACAAACATCGACGAGATCATCAACAACTACAAGGAGTCGATTCCCGAGGGCCAGCAGCCCGAGATCACCGTCATCACCGACGGCTCGCGCATCCTGGGTCTGGGCGACCTGGGCATGAACGGCATGGGTATTCCTGTCGGCAAGCTGCAGCTGTACGTTGCCGCCGCCGGACTCGACCCGACCCGCTGCCTGCCCATCGTGCTCGACTTTGGTACCGACAACTCCAAGTATCTCGAGGACCCGCTGTACCTCGGTATCCGCCAGAAGCGTCCGAGGATCCGGAGGTAAGTCTCATCACATGATTGTTTGTTTATTCTCCGGGTCGGCCGACGGCTGCATATCTCGCCCCGGGCAGATAGGCGGTGTTTCACGCCCGGGCAAGATATAAACCATGCAGTCTTGCAGAAGGGTCTGTGCGGATCACCATGCAGCATCCCAGGCTTTTCTGTTTGCCCCGTGTGACTGCTTTTTTTATTGCTCGGAGAAATTTGTTAGTCACAAGCGCCTGCAACCTCACATGCTGACATTTGATTTCCTCCTTTTAGTTCTACGCGGCCACGGAGAAGGTCCTCAACGGCCTGACCCGCGCGTTCCCCGAGATCTTCATCCAGTTCGAGGACTTCAACACCCCGCACGCCTTTGGTCTTCTTGAGCAGTGGCGCAACAAGATCCTGTGCTTCAACGACGACATCCAGGGTACTGGCTCGGTCATTCTCTCTGGCTTCATTAACGCCATCCGCCTCGCTGGTATCCCCGCCGCGAGCAGCGCATCATGTTTGTCGGAGCCGGTTCGGCCGGAGTCGGTGTGGCCAAGCAGCTTGTCGACTACCTTGTGATCGAGCACAAGATCCCGGAGGAGCAGGCCAAGGCCATGTTCTGGTTCGTCGACTCGCGCGGTATCATCAACGCGAACCGCGGCGACAAGCTGGCGGACCACAAGATCTACTTTGCCCGGCACGACAACGGCGACACGCAGTGCAAGAACCTCGAGGAGGCCATTGAGTACGTCAAGCCGACGGCTCTGATCGGTGTCGACCATCTACAAGGCGTTCAACGAGAAGATCCTGAAGCGCGTCAACGAGCTGAACCAGAAGAACCGGCCGATCATCTTCCCGCTGTCGAACCCGCAGACCAAGGCCGAGTGCACGTTCGAGGAGGCCATGGTTGCCACGGACAACCGCGTCTTGTTCGCCTCGGGCACCGCGTTCCCGTCGTACACTATCCCGGGCACCGACGACACGCGCGTGCCGGGCCAGGGCAACAACATGTATGTGTTCCCGCCCATCGGCCTCGGAGCCAAGCTGGCCAAGCCCACCAGCATCACCGACTCGCTGATCTTTGCCGTGTCGGTTGCGCTCTCCAACACCCTGACCAAGGAGGAGGTCGCCCGTGGCGAGCTGTACCCGCGCATCGAGCGCATCCGCGAGACCTCGGCGCAGATCACCGCCGCCTTCATCCACCAGGCTGTCCGCGAGGGCCTGGCCACGGACCAGTACTGGGTTGACCTGGTCAAGGCTAACCCGGCGCCCTCGGCCACCTCGGAGATCCCCGATGGCTCGTACTCGCAGGTCGTCCTGGACGAGGTCTCCAAGCGCATGTGGGCTCCGGCCCAGTCGGCCGAGCAGTTCACGACCAAGCTCTAACTTTCCTACCTTCCCTGTGCCTATATCTTTAATTCTCAACCCATTCAAATGAAATCAATGCTGATTCATCCATGATCAAAGGAGCTGCGATTTTGTGATTCGGCGCGAGAGCAAGCACAAGGCCCACACGCGTATTCGCGTCGCCTTGGCGTTGCGCAGTACGCTGCCAAAAAGAGGCTCAAGAGCGCAACATCCTTTCTCCCCT